TTAGAAATCGGCCGCTCTTTGCTGAGCTGTTCCGCGACGAAAACAATGTTGAGCAATGGCAATGTCGAATGGTGACACTCGGTAAGTAATCCTACAATTTTTTGTTTATAGCGTAGTTTATACGGATTATTCCCAAAAAATATATACGTATTTTGGAAATGTTGAGTCGGATTAGTCTAGAATCGATTAATTTTATGTAAGAAAATCTTTCAAACAGCCGTAGTCCGTAAATTTGAAACGTGTCGGGTTGTGATTGGAAGGATTCGTAAGAAAGCGGATTCCTAGAGAATGGAACGTATCTCTATCTTATAGGGGGGTCGACTGTATTTCTGAAACTTTTACTTTCCAATAAATGTAATTAAAGCAAATAAGACTACGTTAATTAATAACATCAAATATTCCTGAAGTTTGTCTTGTCATGTAAAAACGAAATTCATTTTCTTAACTCAATTTTTAAATATACATGTTTTAAGCGATTGAAACCTCTTGCTAAAAGCAACTCAGGCTCTTTCTGTAATAAAAAGAAAAGATTTTGTGTTTTAAAATATACAAAACTTTGCAGAATATTTCAATGTTATCATTCTTTACCTTTGTATTAATTCCTGGTTTAAATCTAAGGTATTGCAAAGTTTTAGCTAGGGCCATCTTAACTTCCATCAAGGCAAATCTCTTAGCTATACAATTTCTTGGTCCAATTCCAAATGACAAATTGGTGAAAGGAAGCATGTTATTCTTGTGAGATAAAAATCTACAGAAATACATCGAACATAATTAAAAAATTTTCGTGATTTATTATTAAAACTATTATATATTAAAAAAATATTGAAAATATTGAAAAAAATTATAAATATTAAAACAATCTTATTACATTGTGTGACTGATTCAAGAAATCGGAAGGATTAAAATGAGTATAACAATTAGTTGAAATATTAATTAAAATGATGTCTTAAATAACATAAAATCTTTATATATATTTTTAAAAAATTCCAAGCATTCTACTTCTTTAAACATCAATTATAAGAAAACTTTAATTAAAATAAATCTTTAAAATATTGTAAAAACGAATTCATAAATAAAATGAACTTAAATATTAAACTCGCCTTTCGGGATCAAATTTATCTGGATCTGGAAAGTACTTAGGATCATGATTAAGAGCATAAACAGGTACTCCTATCATTGTGCCTTTTTCAACGACAATTCCTGTATCGCCCAATTCGTGATCTTCTACTACCCTACGCTCTATTCTACGTATATTAATAAAATATGTCATTTATAACTTACGGCTGCAATCCATGTATATTTACAAAATATATCATTTATACAATTTGTGTTTACGTACGTATCACAAAAAAGAACAGTTTTTTAATACTAAAGTTCCTAATATCAGCATATATTGTTCTATCAGAGACATTATACATAACATAAATAATTAAAATATGAGTATATATGTTACCGCTAAAGCTCGAAATCCGTTAATGTCTACATTACCTAGCTAATCTGCAGATTAACTAAGGTTACCGTTAAAGCTGCGAAAATTATTCCATTTCTCAAATTACCTAGGTAATCTGCAGATTATCTAGGTAATCCGCAAATTACCTACTAGGCACTCGGTAAAGTGAAAATAAGATCTTTGCTGGAACAACAGCAACGTTTCTGTACGCTTAAATTAACATAATGTTATTTATTTAATTTTCAATATCTAAAGAATCAAGTTAATACAATCAA